ACAGGTGCATGTGTGTGTATACACAAAATCCCAAAAGGAGAATGGAAGAGAAGGGATTGCAGCTATATATATACTTTTTAAAAAATGTATTTTATTTGTCTATTTATTTTATTTATTATTTTTAAATTTAATGAGAGAGAGAAGAAGAGAAAAAGCAAGCCTCCATGTGTAGGTCTTGAACCACAGTTGGCCATGTGGGAATCTAGTGCCTTAACCATTATGCTACTTGCCAGCCCCACTATATTAATTTAATACAATTAATAAAAGTCTGTTGATCACAAGGAATGACAACAATGTCTACTTTTTGGCTACTCCACCGTGCTTTTAATTTTTATTTACATACTTAATTGCCATTTCATGTGCTTACTAAAGAGACAGAGAGAGAGGAGAAACCATCCCTCTGATGGGACATGATCATGCTGCAATCCCTTCTTCTCGTCTCTCTTCTCCTGTTGAGATTTTGGGTATGCATGCACATGCAACCAACATATTTTTCAAGCTATGGAGTTGGGACTCGAACTGCAGTTGGCCATGTGGTATCCAGCTTTCTTAACCATAAGATCATAAGTTGACCCTGAGTTACTATTTGTTGATAAAACATTTTCTTTTTTTGAAAAGTAATTATTTATTTTACTTTATTATTATTATTTTTCAATTTGATATAAGACATATGTGCTTCCTAGAGATGGACAGAGGCAAAGAAAAAGAGAGAGAGAGAGAGAGAGAAAGAGAGAGAGAGAAAGTGAGAAAGTAAGCCTCCAGGTCCAGGACTCAAACCATAGTCAATCATGTTGGAGTCCAGTGCCTTGACCACCACATTACCTGCTAGCCCCTATAACATTTTTTCTTATCACCTTATAAAAATCCATAAAAACATCAGTAACAACAGCAGAGCCTTATAAACTAAGCAGAGTCATGATAATTAAGAAATATTTATATGAAAATGCCATATTGTCTTTCTCAAGGTGTCCTAATATTTTTATCACTAGCAACCTTTCTTTCAAAGTTCTAATCACAATGTCCTTTTTAAAAAAAAAAAATGTGGGGGATATTTTTGCTATAGGTCACATGTGCTTGCCCGAGAATCAGAAAGACAGAAAGTGAGAAATCACCCCCTCAGGAGGGATGGCCCCACCACAGTCCCTTCTCCATTCTCCTCTTGGGATCTTGGACATGCACGGATATACACTCAGGTCTGGGACCTGAACCATGGTTGCCTACATGGGAGTCCAGAGATGTAGCCATTATACCATATGCTGATCCCCACAATTTCCTTTTATTATAAGAGTATATGTTTGTTTGTGCAGCAATATTTTTTTAAAGAGGTTGAGAAGTCAAGGAGAACACATGTAATACCTGAGCTACATGTAGGTTTGTAGTCAGGGAGATGTGGTAGAATAGTAAAGGGGGCCACCAGCCAAGAAAAGCCGGCAACTTCTAGAAGCTGGAAAAGACAAAGAAGAAGGTTTTCCCCCAGAGCCTCCCTGCACATCCATTTTGGACTTCTGACTTCCAGAACTGTAAGATAATACATTTTTGTTGTTTTAATCCACTAAGTTTGTGTTCATTTGTGATAGCAGCAATAGAATATTAATATAGATACTAAATAGAAGCACCATTATTTGCTTAAATCTGATCTCCAAGTTTGGTTAGTCTGACTAAAAAATGCTTACGATTCTAACCTGTGTATTTTCTCCATCTTAACATCTTGGAAATTGGGATGCATTTGAGATCAATGACATCTTACAATTGCTGATGGTCAGGTGGATAGGTGCTACAGTGGCATTTTCCACTCTTCTGGGAATCTAAAACTCCCATTAATAAAGCTTGCAAAATGAGTGTCAACTATTTGAAAAAAAAAATGCCAGAGAAAATAGTGGAGTTCTACGAAAATAATTTTGCTTTGAAATAATTTCAGACTTTCTTAAGAAATAATACCAAGAATTCCTGTATAAGCTTGACCTCTATTCCACAAAGTTTAACATTTTACCACATTGCTTTCTCATTCTATCTATACACACACACACATACACATATAAATTATTTGAGAGTAAATTTTAGATATATATATATACTCTAATATAATTGTCTTAAATAACCGGTACAGATGTCAACATAAATCAGTTAGCATTGACGAAATATTCTAATCTTGGCCAGCTTGTGCCCTGGTGTTAAAGTGGCTGGATCCCACACGGCCAGCCTCAGTTAGAGTCCTGGACATGGCACCTTGAGGAACATATGCATGGATGTGCACATGTGCCCAGAATCCTGAGAAGAGAGAGGGATGTTGGAAAACAGATGGTAGCGTTCTTTCTAGCTTTCTTTTTCTTTCTCCTCCCCACCCTGACCAGTGCACATGCCCTGGCAAACTAAAAAACAAACAAACAACAACAACAACAAAACCAATCTGAAGACATCCCAATTTTTTTTTTTTTTGGAGAGATTTTCACTGTAGGGCGCGTGCGCTCGCCAGACAGACAGAGAGAGACATAGAGACAGAAAGCGAGAAATCACCCCCCAGGGGGGATGGTCACGCCGCAATCCCTTCTCCTCCATTCTCCTCTCGGGATCTTGGGCACGCACGCACACACGCCCGGCATGAGTTTTAAGCCACCGGGTCCAGGACATGAACCGCGGTCGACTACGTGGGAGTCCAGCGACATAGCCATTACGCTAACTGCTGGTTCCCAAGACATCCCAATTTTGTTACTTGTCCCACTGATGCCCTTAATAGCAAAATGAGAAATATTTCTAATATTTCCTTATGATTAGATTCAGATTAAAATGGTGGTTTGTTTTGTTTTGTTATTGTTTTTTCTTTTTTCTTTTCTTTTCTTTCTTTCTTTCTTTCTTTCTTTCTTTCTTTCTTTATTTCTTTTTTCTTTCTTTCTTTCTTTCTTTCTTTCTTTCTTTCTTTCTTTTTTTTTTTCTTCCTCTTTCTCTTTTTTCTTGCAGAGGGACAGGAAAGTTACAGAGGACCCTTTTCAGCATAGTATTCTAGGAGTTACTTGATGTACCCTTCTGTCCTTGTAACTAGAAGACACAATTGTGAGAAAAGGAGGGCTTGTCGTGGTGCCACTGTTTCAACTGCCTTGGGACTCTCTGCTTCCCTCGGAGCTTCCAACAGCGCCATCCTGGGACAGAGCTTCCAAAGGTTCACGACCTTGGTGGTCTGTAGGCACCACTATGAGGAGGGCCCGGGAAGAATTTGCCATTTTCTGTAGAAAATAAGTGGCAATTACTTCTTATGACTTTGTGCTTTGGATCTGGATTTGCTGCACCTGTCTCTTCAAGAAGTCACAAACTGCTTAAGGAACAAGGATGTTGTAATTCATCCATTTAATAGATATGAAGAACATTTTAAGAGGTGCAGTCACACTCTCTGAAAAATGAATCAACCTCTTAAACTCATTGCATACTAGATACGTTTGTAAACAAATTTATGACATGAAAAGGGAGTTACTTGATGTTTGTTTTATCCTTGATGTTAACTTTGATCACTGGGTTAAAGTGATATTGCCAAATTTCTCCATGGTAGTTACTATTTTTTCTTTGGTGTAGGAAAAATCTTTGTGCTTATTTAAATATCCTTTATCACCATAATTTCTCAATAGAGCACTCTTTTCAAATTAGGAAGGTTGTGGGGAGGAGGTGGTGAGTCATATGTTTTTGCAACACTTTAGAAATGGGAGTCAAAGGTGTGTCAGGCAGTTTTACATAATCTCAGATCAGTATAGACCCTTGTGCCAACAGCTTTGGTTCTTTGGTGGATTATTTCACGAGATGCTTTGACACCAGTGCCGTTGATGGGATAGATGACGATATTTTGTGAAAAACCATTAAAACATGGGCATTGGGGCCACCAGGTGGTGTGGTGATTGAAATGCGGGACTCCCCCACTGCTGACTTTGTGTCAAGTCCTGGACCGGGTGGCTTGCTTTCGCTCAGTCTCTCAGTGTCTGCTTTTGGCATATTTGGATTCTATTGGGCACAGAGCCCTAGGTCAGTTTGACCAAAGAAATAAAGCCTAACTGAACACTTTCACACATTTTGTTGCTCAGTGGGGTATTCTTTTTAGATAGCTGGGAAGAGTATTCTAATGTTACCACAAAGTCAACTGTCCACTCTTCCTGGGACTAACAGCTGCTTACTTGGCATCCCCTGGACTCAGCAGCTCCAGAGGTATTTTTTCGATTCCCCTGTATGCCTTTTGCATGAGAAATGTAATGGGAGCAGTCGTGCAACTGGAGACATTGCAGTCCTAAACTGCTTATTTACCTTCGTGAACTGCCTACACACAGCGCCTGAAGTCAGTGATGGGAGGAAGATGCAGACCAGACGAGGTCTGGGAGAAGATTCCGTGGCCCTCAGTGACAATGAGCAGAGATTAGAGGAAAAGGCTGTATAATAAAAACTGAAAAACATTGAAAACACTGTATTTGCTCTGTGAAAGGAAAAATTACCCCAAAACTGTGTTTGGTGCTGTAAAAATACAAATTAGGAGTAAGCAGCTCTTTAGCGAAATGATTCTGGGAATTTATTTTTCTTCCCTCATCACCCTGGATCTGGGGAATTACATAGTACAACTCCAAAAATGGAAAAGGACCCAAAGTCATTATTATTGGATTATAGCAATGAAAATCATTCCCTCTTTGGTTAACAAATATATATTTATTTTAGTTACTCTTTTATTTTAATGTGTTTTTGGAAAACTATTTAGTAATATACATTTTTCTCTTTAATTGTTCCTCTAACAACACTGGCCATTTCTTTTGGGTTGTCAGAAAAGCCATGACACATTTTTGGTAGAAAAACAGAGAAAAAATATGCCATGACTTTTCTGATAATCTAATAAATATATAAATAACCAAATACTACTCACTGAAGACTTTCTAAAAGCTCACTCACCTTGAACACAATAATGACAGTTATGAGTTAATAAATCTTTATACTAACAAGACATATATTGTTTTGAGTAATTTTGAAACATCTATTTATAGGTAAATATAGAAAAAAAGTGGTGACTTACTTCAGCGGCTGTGGTGAACAGAATTATTACTTCCTTCCGTTTTGGGCTCTTTTGAGTTCTCAAGAGGTACAAGCAGAAAAATCTACACCAGATGGCTCTAAAGGAGATTACATTCATATTTTATTTATTCCCTGTCTACGTCTAAAAAGGATTTAAGGTAGCTCCAAGTCTCAAATCGTTTCCAGAGGAGAAACTTCTAATTGTTCTGAATATGTCTCCCTAGAGGAAAATGCCATTTCTGTTTGTTTACAAAGCCAACCTCTTGGTTCAGTAGTTTATAGATGTTTGGTCATTGTATGACCGGGTCTCATGACTTCAGTTGCAGTTGCAGGGACCCACCTGCTCCTAGAAAATAGAAATTATTGGAAGAAGAGCATCCAGAATGCTTTCTAGGTTGTCCTTTGTTTCTTCTTTTCCTCTTTTTAGTTTATTTTTAAAAATTCATTGCAGAAAGCCCCTGGGAGAGAGAGAAAGAGGACTCTGTCAAGGGTCT